GATTAATAAAATTAATAATATAATATAATTAAAAAATATAATAATTAATAATATTTATAAATTAAATAATTAATATATATATATATATATATTAATATATATATTAAAAAATTATATTCATACTATATAAAACAATAATATTATATACATAATAATATTATAGTATACTAAATATATATATAGCATAAATACTATATATATAATCACTAAATATATATATAAATAACATAAATATTATAATAAATAAAATAACATAAATTCAATATAAACTATAGGATAATAATAAATAATATAACACATATAAATTATAATGATGATTTAAACAAATATTAAATTTAATATATCATGAACATTTACAATATTTATATATTATATATATAATATAATATTATATTATATAAGTTATAATATATATATAAATATACATAATATAAATCATATAATATAAATAATATTATATATATATAATATCATAATAATAATAATTATTAATACTAAACATAATTATATATATATATACATAACATATGATAATATATGTAAATATAAATATATTATAATATATATATAATATATATAGATGCATAATATACATAGGTATGCACATGTTATACCATATATGCCACACATTATATTATAAAAAAAAAAAAAAACAATATATATATTATTAATAATAATATATATATATAAATATATAGTTAACAAATATTGTATATATATATATAAATAAACCACTATATGCAGTAATATATATATAAAAATATATATATATAATATAATAATATAATATATAAAATATATAATATATAAATATATAGTAATTGAATAATTAGCTATATATTCATTATAAAAAGATACATAGTACACTATAATATATTCTTATTACATATACATAAACATATACATATAAAATATCATTATATCTATATCTATATTATTTATCTATATATATATATTATTTATTATAATATAATATATAATAATATAATATAATATATATATATATAATATATATATATATATTATATATATATAATCTATCTATCTATATCTATTATCTTATCTATCTATCTATCTATCTATCTATCTATATCTATCTATCTATCTATCTAAATCTATCTAGTCTATCTATCTATCTATCTATCTATCTATCTATCTATCTATCTATTATCTATCTATCTATCTATCTATCTATCGTATCTAATCTATCATATCTATCTATCTATAATCATTATAATTATACATACATTACACATAATCATATAATTATATATATATAGGTAGATGATATATAATATATATATAGGTCTATATATATATATATATACATACACATATATATATATATATATATATATATATATATATATATATATATATATATATATATATATATATATATGTATATATATGTATATAAATACACACACACATACACACATGCATATACATACATATATGTATATAATATAAATATATATATATTAATAGATAAATAAATAGATAGATAATACATAAAAAATAAATATTATACATACAATATATAGAGTATATACTATATACAATGTATATAATATATATAATACAAATAATACATATAATATATATTTATATATAACACATACTACATATTCAATATACATGATGAATAATAAACATCATATATAAGAAGTATCTAATCTATATCTAACATATATATGAATTATCAAATATATAAGTAAATAATTAAATAAATAAACAAATATATAAAGGGAGATGGACTCCTTAAGAACTATTCTCCAGTCAACCTTATTAAGTGTAATTCTGCCTCACTGAAATCACAATGGTTAATTCACAGGCTGTTTCTATTTCAGGTATTACCTTAATTCTTTGGAAAGAGTAACTATTTAAAGAAAGCATGTTATTTTCATTCTGAACTATTCCAAATAGCTATCGACTTTGTATTGACAGCCTGGTTTTTGTCCAGATTACAGCTGTCAAGGGGTGATCGACAATTTGCTGGTGGAACAATAGTTGTTGAAGTGCACTTGAAAGTACAAGAAGGTTGCAGCATTTCATAGGTGTCTGAAAACTTTTTGAATAAAAATCAGCAAATGACTAATATTATTGAACTAGCAGTGCATGATCTCTTAAACAGCCATTCTCACTGTAATTTAAGCTGAATGCCAACATCCAGTTGATTCTGAAATAAGTTAATCAAATGTGTGTAATAAACTCTATATAACATTAATGCCTAATAGAACGATAATACTGCACTAACCTGAAAATTTTGAAATTCAGGAATCTGACTATTCTGGTGGTGTGAAATTAACAATATTGGAAGATCCAGGAAACTATTTTTATTTTATCTAAAACAAGATATAAATGTGGGGAAATTCTGATAAATGCCTCTGAAATCCATACAGCATATGCTATATATTATCTTTGGCGCAGAATACAACTGCTCCATAACATAGTTATCGGGGTCCTGTACTGAAGTATTGCACTACTGTTTATATCTATACCATAGCAATGGTAGTTAGGGAGGGGGGGCACTGCTCATCTTTAAGATAAGCGGTTTGTACTCAAGATAACACCTACTGCAAATCTTTGCTCACATCATTACAGGTAGTATAGTGAATCCTATGAGAATACAAACAGCACATAGGAAAGAACTTAAAATATTTTGAAAATTATGAACTTTTTTGGCAATTGTTTACAGTACAGATGCTCTCGCTAGAGACTAAGACCCCAACTCCATGTCACGAAATCTATTCATTAATCTAAGTTGCCGTGACTGGACATGCCCTTCTGACACTGCCTAAGGGAAAGGTTGATGGGGGGCTCTGCCTTCCAGCACCCCCCAGGAAATATTGTCTTCATCTCAGTATGCATGAAAAGATAGAACCGAGTGGACTTTCCACTAACTTTTACCAATTTTTTGTTGTTACTGTTTATGCCAGCAGATCATTTTTTGTACCAACTACTGCAACTTTTTGTCCTCTACATGAATATCATATTCAATTTGCCTGAACTTAGTGCACCAATACCATAAAGATGAATTATTTTTTTCCTGAATAAAAGTAGTGGCTGATAACAAACGTATTCACTTGAGCAGCAGTTTGTTATGTCAAATTACTTATGCCCTTATCTATTCTCTTATCCTCATCTAAACATGTTTATTAATAAGCTTTCCATTAATCTTTAAATTACAGAATTAAACTTCAAGGCCCTTTTCATAATGATGCCAATTATTTTTTTTATGAAAAGATAAGAAAAAAGAAAAAAAAATTGTCAGCTACAATACTTATTTAAAATTTCCATTACTTAAAGATTCCACATTCACTATAAATTCTTTAGTTCTTGCTTTGCAGGTTCACTTACCCACTGATCTCTAACGCAGACTCATTATCTGCTTTATTTCTTTTCACACATATTGATATAAGTATAATTACATCAGCATCAGGGTGCATGCGGAGTTAGCTGCTTGAGTGAAATAACAGAAGCACAGGAAAACTTGGTTGCCATTACATGTATGCCAGCTGTTTCCGATTACTCGCAGTTAGGCGTACAGGAGCAGTTTCCGATTTCTCACAGTTAGGCTTAAGGCAGCTGCATCTGATTTCTCGCAGTTCGGTGTATGGTTCACACATGTATATGCCCATATAATTATTATTTCAGGGTAATAAGTATGAACTTAACCTAACCTAACTGAGGGTGGTATCTTCTCATTTCAAGATGCTGCCATCTTCCAGATACTTATGAATAAGGCTATGCTGAATACATTTACATATTCATTATAAATTTTTATAAGGATGAACAGCTTGGACATCAGAGGAGGAAAATCCGCATCTTGCAGCATAGCAAGAGATTTTTTTTAGGTTGTAGGGTAACTAACTCAACTCTTCACAGTTGATGGAAGTAAATTTTTTGGCATATACATTTTTGGAATAGGTAACCGAGAGCTACACGCAGAGATAGAGGGAAATTGGACAATGCCATCTTATATAGAGCGTAAGAAATAGAATAAGAAATAACACAGTAAGTTGCAGCAGTTTCAGATTTACCGGTAAATGACGAAAATATCAGCTGCATATCACTGCTCACAGACTAAGACCACAATACCCTCACACAGCCAGAGATCTTAGCCCATTACCGCCCAAATATTTTGAAGCTGAAAATAAAAGTTTCTGGGAGGCTATAAAATTAGCGCACAGGGCTGGCCTGGACTTTGCCCGCGCACCAGCCGCATCCTGCTGCTGAGTCAGAGCGCGAGCCCTGATACATCACACTGGCAGGACACCTGGCAGTTTTTTTTTTTTTTCTCTGGGTGTCTCATATGTGGGACACCGGTCGTAAGTGGGTTAATGTCCATTTCTATAGGTAGGCATGAAGTGCTAATAAATGGGGGGGTCTTGGGAATAAATAGAAGGTAGTAAAGGTTTTGCATGGTACCCTGGGTTTCGGGATTTAATCTGTATGGTGAGTTACTTTTGGTAACAATTACCACATTTTCTTCTCACAGAAAAGGGGTAAAACATTTTGTGATTTACCAATACTTCTAACTTGATACTAGTTGTTGGTTAGACAGTAATTTGAATATTTACCAAATCTCCCATATAATCAAAATAACAATCAATTTGATCCATTCCTCCAAACACATCACTATTTACCTGTAAAATTCTGACCTACACATCTATTTCCCCCAAACTCTGTACCTTCCCTGCAGGAAAAAGAATGCATCTCCTAAAGCACCTCCAGACAACCAAATCCAACTCCTTCCGCTACAGAAAAGCAACACCAAGACATCAAACCACGAGTTCCCAGCACAGCCTCACAGCAACACTCGTCCCTTAGCCTCGAAACTCGCCTTCCTCACTCACGCCCATGCACCTGTGGGCGGGAGCCGACACAGGCTCCACAGCCTCCTTGAGATCCCCTGGAAAGCAAGTCTGCCCCTGGAAGCATTTTTTTCATTCTGGGACAATGACTCACAGATACAGTGACTCCCTGTGACTCACCCGCTGAAGGCGATTTTGACTCTGATCTCCGAAGGCTCACCGACGTCCTTGCCTCCCTGCGCCTGGGCTGGCATCTTGGCTCGGCTTTATTCCTCTGCAAAACACTCCTCCAAAGGTCTTCGAAGTGGGCGTAGGTCTCCGGGTCGCCACGAGGAAAAAAATCGAGCAAAAGGGTTTTTTTGTTGACAGGTCGCGGGTTGACAGGTAATAGGCCTACCTTCCCCTCACACACGCACGCGTTCGCCCTCTCCTTTTTCTCTCGTCTTTCTCAAAGCGAACACTTCCGGCGCCCTTGGGTTGCAATCTCGAGAGGCTTTGGATCACGCGGACAACGCACTGGTCCTGGGGAGAGGTGTCATGAGGCGGGGGGCGAGGAAAAAGGGAAAAGGCCGAGGAGGCGATGACAGGTTCCTCCTCCGACCAAAACACTCCGGAAGTCGGCGTCACGTGACCTACTCCGGGGTCACAAGAGCAACTCTGCTTTTGCCTTTTTGGAAGGGAGTTCGATAAATATTTTTATGCTATTTATGGTGGGTTTGTTCCTTTTTAGAGAAGAATAATAGGGATTTTGCGTGATCGGAAGAACGACGGGATAAACAGGCGAGCGATTGCGATGATTCAGTTGCTCGGCCCACTAGTGACCCACGAAGCCGATAGCAGTTGCCCGACGGTCGAGATAGTCTTATTTTTAGTCGAAATTTACCTGTGATAAGCAAATAGTATGGTAAGTGAGTAGGTTAAGTGGCTCAAGTGTGCCTCCCCGAGCCCTACGTGTGCACGGGAGGACCAAAGAGGCCACGACACGGCCGGGAGAGGGTCCATAACAAGGGGCGAGAGGAGCGAGGGGGAGAGAACGCCCATCCGACCAAGGGATTCTCTCTTCACAAATCCTTCGGCAAACGGCAGGGACACGTTGCAGGACCTTATTAGGCGACCCAGCGGACATTCCACACGTGCAGGTTGGACAAAAGGACCGGTGGAGGGGGAGAGGGGGCCGGTAGGGGGCGCAGGAGGGAGATCATGATAAGGTGTTGACTGGAGGCCGAGTGACAAGAGCCTCGAGACCCTTCAGTACTATTTGTGAGTCACTCGAGACGGCCGCTCTTGCACGACATTACGCAAGGGTGAGTGATTCAGCCCACTGTTGGCGACTCTGAAGGGCCTTTCCAACCCACACTGGCCATATAAAGGGGTAAATACACGAGCAAGCAGACATAAGCTGGTTGGCCTCATTTCCCCCAGCATCAGGAGAGGCCAGACCCCCCAACCCCCCTCTGTGGCAGGTGTGCATTCTGCTGCTTGCTCTGGCAGCTCTTTCTGCTTGTTTCTGCTGTACCTGAGGCTGGGCTGTGCAGGTCTGCTTGAAAGACAGGCCTAGGGTGGTACGCTGCGGTTGAATGAGGTTGGAGAAGTTCGTCCAAAGTACGGATGTGGGGTTTTGCTTTGGGGGTCTCTGTTGCAGGTGTTGGACAGGTTGCACTGTCAGAGTTGCAACAGTGTTTGGTTCTCAAGTGAACATAGTGACTTTCCTCAGAGCCAGGGAAAGATTGGGAGAAACTCTGCATGAAATCTTTAGTAAATATGGCACAGGTTTAGATGACATGTGCTGTCAAATTGCGTATGGGACTCGTTTCTTGTCATCACATTGGCAGTGCTCTTTTGAAATCCACTAGTAACTTTCTGTGATATGTGATGAAAGGTCTACAGTATTGTCTGATCTGCTGTCAAGAGATCACTGCGGCAAAGGCTAATAAAAGTTTGCCATATGTATTCTGGCAAGATTGAGCTTGGACTGGTTCCTTATTTTGACAGTAGTGTGCCAGTGTTGTCTGCAAGGTACATCTTGCCTAGAATTTTACGTATCACTCATTTTACTTCGTTTGTATGATTCATTGTGATGGATTTTGATGTACAGTCAAAGGCAATTATGATTTTGGCAACTATCAAGATTGGGATTGTGTGATAATACTACAAAATGTATATGCCTCTTATTGGAATTAAAATGAATTTAATCTGTGCAAGTGAAGAATGATAGTGCTGTGAGATATTAGAAAGGGTAATCACAGATGCTAAAACTCCCGAGGCCATCATCCTGCGGTGCCCTTATGCCAGAACATATGCTTGAGGTTCATTGGCCTTTACCAGAGTGTGAGGCACAGAGTCCGCTGCATTGGTTGATGTGGGTCTATTTTGGACAATTACCATAAATTTAGAAAATGTAAAATATCCAGACTTTCTCAACTATACTATACTGAGTATTTTCATACTTCAACTTGGCAGAAGAGCCTAGCCTACTACTCATGCCTTCCAAAAGAACAGCTGTAGATTTGGCAAAGAGACTTGAATTTCTCTTTTTCTGTTCCTCGTTCTTTATCTTTAATATGCTTATTCTTGAACATAGGACTGGACCTGCATAAGATAGTGTCCTGTGAGTGATGTGGCCTCAGTATCTTTAACAAAGGCCAACAAACCCTTACTGTACATGTATGCCAAGATAGAACTTGGACTGTTTCTTTAATTAATAGCAAATAACCATGGTGGTCTATATGTACAAATTCTATCTTGCTAGAATATACATGGGAATTTCTCTTCCTTTCCCACAGTGCCAAAGACATGGAGGACATAGCAAGCACTTGAGTCACTGCGTGGGTTTCTTTGATAAGAGAGTGGGCGTACATTCACCTTGTGCTGATTGTTTTCTATAGTCTACAGTATTGCTTTTTGTGATCTTTAAGAGGATTGGGTCAGTTTTTTTCTCAATCTGCAGATGCTCCTCCTCCTAAGATTTAATTTTAGTTGTTACTTTTCCACATTGTTTTGTTTAGTTTGATAGCGCTAAATGTCCTCCATTGTTATATGTGTAATTTTTTATAAAAATATATTATTATTATTATTATTATTATTATTATTATTATTATTATTATTATTATTATTATTATTATTATAATTATTATAATAAAAGGATGAATCAGAATAGTACCATGCATAGATGAAAAACTAAGCTGGTGGTGTCAAAATCAGAAAATCAGTGCTCGTGTGGTAGTCCAACAATGCTATGATTTCCATGTTTCACACACTGGCAAAAGCAGCAGAACTTGAACTGTCCTACCAAGCAGTTTATTGTCAAATATGGAACTAAAATCTGTCAAATATTTATACATTTGGGAAGTTTTTTTGGCCTTTGCCAGAGGACAAGGCTTTTAGGCTTGGCCTATGGTATTGCTTCATGCAGTCCTAATTTACACGATGGTATACCTTCTCAAGATAACTGCATTGGCTTTAAAATTGATCCTTTTTCAGTTGCATTAGTGATGTAATCTAAAAACATTTCATGTGTTCAGAGAACTCCCACTGACCATCAAACCTAAACTTTTTTCTTTTCCTGTGGGTGTAGAGGCTACAAAGATTGTATGACCAGTAGCACATGTGAAGGGATGTATAATCATTTACCAAACCTATAATATTTGTGTTGGAGCACCTACAATCTGAAATTAGACTTGATAAAGGTTCCAGCTTTCACCTGGGCCTCTGTGCCTTTGGTGCTCCAACAAGGATATTGGATTCATTAGTTCCTGTTTGATTGTGCGTTGCAAGGGACACCTGTAAAGTCTCCCTTCTGAGAATGTATATGTGGTTGAGGTTAGTTGGTCTTTGTTGGAGCATTATAGGTACAAATATGCAGGTCTTATTTTTTAGTTTTATATCATTTTTATTGCATTTTTTTTTTCTTTCTTCTTTTTAGGTCACTCAGCTATTCTTGAAATGATTTTTGAAACAAATAGTATTTACATGTGAAAAGACAGAAAATGATTTATGCTAAGGAATGAACATCCCCAATATTAGATAAATCTTTAGATAAGAAGTTTAGGGAGACAATGACTTAGTACTGATTTAGATATATGGATGGTATGGATAGAAACAAATCCTTGACATTTTAAAACAACCCTTTACAAACAAAAAAAGTTGTATATTTGTAAAATAAAACCAAACCTGAGTAGTAGATGGTTTTTGGTCATTAATCACTTCTCTCATTTTTGGATACGAGTGACATGACCATTGTAGCTCATGCAGACATGTTACAGTACCATTCCCACCAACCACAGTGATCAGACTGGATAAATCTACTTATTATTTTCAAGTGTTCATTATTTGAAAAAAAAAAAAAAATGTTTTCAGGATATAGACGGTTGAATTATATATAAACCAGAAACCAAAGGATTTTTTTTTTTTTTTTTTTTTTTTTTTTTTTTTTTTTTTTTTTTTGTATATATACACATTAGTAGTCTTTTCCCATGTTGTAAATAATGTACAAAAAAGTGATATATTTTTTCATTTACTTGTGTAAATTAAAGATATAGTGATACTATCAAATTCTTAAGTATAGTTTAATCATATTGAAAATTAATCTTATTATCTTTTATATGCACTATTCATATAGAAAGATTTACAAAACAACACGAGCCAAAGATATAGCCTTTATTTACCAGTGCAAGGGAAGGCATACATGTTTGAAGTAAATCAAGAAATAGACAGAATTAGGTCAGTGAATTCAGAGGGCAGTCCTTTCCCAATTTATTACGTGTAGAAAGATGCATTCAAGGGGGATGAAAGGGGGAGCAGTATTACCCCTTTAACCAGCAGGTCAGGTGGAAGGCCCGTTCTTTTATGAATAGCTATGATTTTCTATTAATTCTGCAATAAGAGGATCGTTTGATAAGAAAAGAATATGTATTTTTGTTGTATTACCAGTGAATAATGTGTGTTATACAGGAAAAAACATTTTTTGGAAGACTGAATGCCTTATGTGTATAGTGTGTCATATGTCAGATAACATCCTGTATCACACACTTCCTGCTGATTGTAATGCTAAGCCTAATTCATGAAGTATCTGTTTAGTAAAGGCTGTTGCTGTTTTCTCTTCTTTACTTTTCTCTTTCTCTCTCTCTCCATTTTTTTATTATCACATGTAAAATCATTATGCTTGTGCTGTTCAAAATGGGAGTATTAATTTCTTGCCATACTTGTTCTATATTTTAAAAGTTGGCTACAACCATTCTGTGGAAGAGAAACAGAGCTGCTGTTGTGTTCTAGAGTTTGATTAATTATTTGCTTGAAGATGTCACTTTGCATATGCCATTTGGGTAATGATAATGTGTACCACAGGAGGTATTAGGAGAAAGTTACTTTTCAGTCATTCATTGTGGTTATCATATAGGTTCCCTCTGACAAGAATATGGTTGATAAGATCTCACCATTTGTTTTCTTGTCTTCTTAGCTCTGTGTATGTGGGAAAGTGACATGAAACCATGATTAGAAAAAGTGTTGAAAAGGAATTGCCTTGTGTGAAACTGTTGAATTCTCAAAGTATCTAAAAATTAGATTGTTCTTACTGGCTATCTGAGAGATAAATATTGTTTAATTGCACAGTTAAAACACATGTCACACTTCAAGAGTAGATATATTTTAGAAGAATTAATTAGTAGGTGCTAACAGAACACCTGCACCATTATGTGTATTCTGGCTAGATAGAGCTCAGTCTGGTTCCGTATGTCATTGTCAGAGAAGTCTATACAGATCTTATCTTGCCAGACCATGTATAGCAGAGGTTTTATTATCTTTTACCAGAGTACCAGAGATCTAATGTCCATGGCAAACACATGGTTGGCTTGCAAACATTTATCTATTCATTTCTAGTATGAAGTTAGGAACAATTATTTCTTTTCAAGACCATTAAATTGCATTTGAAAAAGCACCTGAGTCTTATTGTTTTGTTTTGTTTTGTTTAGACATAGATATCCTGCCTGAGCTACTTGGACTAGACTGCCTTTCATGGTCATGCCCCCCTTTTTCTTCTTTTACTCATACTTAATTCACAACCATGATAGGCTAACAAGTACACTACCTTGGTGACTAAATTGATTGCATTCATTCATTGTGTTTTTTTTTTCTTTTTCTTTTTTTTCAATAAATTTTGATATCTATACATGAATGTTTATTTCTTTTCAAAGGTTATATCATCACATAAATCATTCATAACTTTTCACTCATCATATAAGAACTAGTCACAAATTTCTTCGCTATCCTCATTATACACTTTTGTCCAGCAGATGGAGCAACAACTGGATTGTGCCCTTGACCTTATGCGTCGGCTGCCCCCTCAGCAAATAGAGCGCAACTTGAGTGACCTCATTGACCTAGTACCATCATTATGCGAAGAGCTCCTCTCGTCAGTGGATCAGCCTCTAAAGATTGCTCGAGACAAAAACAGTGGAAAAGATTACCTTCTATGTGATTACAACAGAGACGGGGATTCTTATAGGTAAGTGTCCTTGCGCGTCTTTACTGTTCAAAGGTTTACGTTCTATTTGTGTATCTCAGGTGTCTTTTTTTATTTCATACATTTTTTCCACAGAAGTGAACTTCCAGTAACATTTCTTTGTAGTTAGAATATTAGTTTTACAACATTATTTCGGTTTGCCTGATGTTTTGGAAGCAGTAATGAAATCTCAAGTGTATTGAAGAGCTATCCATTGTAGTAGCTAGTTGATTTTTTTCTTATAACCACAGAATAGATAAGAAGGATGCTTTGTTTTGGAGAACAGCCAATATCAGTTGGTCAGAAATTCCCATTGTTTGTTTTAATGTATATCCAACAAATGATATATGTAATCAGTATTTTTTACACTTGGACTATGAATTGGTAAATTAACATAAATTGATGTCTGTTTGGCATGATATGAATGGACAGTTGCCTATCATGCTTGCCAGGTTTCTCTTAGAAGCATGCCAGGGTAGGCATATATTAGTGGGTGGCCAGACTCATTATGCAAAAGTGAGGTTTTAGTAGACAAGTGTGTTGAATATGTGCAAAAGGTTAGCAGTGAAGTCATTATTGCTGCTGTTTTAAATTTAACATTGTTAGTGTCAGTGTCACCTTATGGTAGCAAGTGTAAGATTTTAAAAAAAGATAAGAAAAAAACAGTTTCAATATAGATTAGCTCAATATAAGTTAGACAGTTGCTCTTTGTAAAAGTACTGTTAATAGAAAATAAAGAACGGCTATCATAGATATCACTCTTCATTTCCCAGGCTCTTATCTCTTTATCAGTTCTTGCTCAGCCTTTGTTGGTTGCCATTAGTTTGCAACAATAGACACTTATTTCCCATCAAATAGACAAATGAACTTGGAGCTAAAAGTTCTTAACAGTTTTGTAGCTAAGGATGACTTGACTTCTCAGGAAAATAAAAAATCTTAAGAACTTTGGTCTCAACTACAAGATGAATTAAACTGGCTCAGGTTATAAGAATGTGTATTAATCCATTGGGCATTGGGTACATGCACTGTCAACTGGAGTTTTGTTTTGTGAATTGTATTTACACATAGATAGATCTACAAGTGCTTTGTTACAAAAGAGTCAATTAGTAGGGCCTACCTGACCTCACCTGAGTATCTCAATCCTTGATTTTATTTACTATTTTTTTCCTAGTACTAATGTTGTTGTCACTGTCATCAGTAATATTGTTGTATTATAATAATAGTTTAATATTAGCAGTAAAGATGTTAAATAATCAAGGAAAAGGGTGACCAGTTAAATTCAGGTAGGCCTTCTTTGTTGACTAAGCACTTTTCAGTCCTGTTAGATAATTTAATACCACAGAGAACTGAAAACACAAAGATACAAAAAAGTTAAAGCTTAGCCAGAAAATAATTCAGACAAAACTACTTCAGGCATTAACATGATATGCTCCATGAAAGAAAGCAAACATCTCATTAACATTATTTAGCATATGCAGAGATTTATTTGCTTTAGGTTGACACTCAAGGGTGTATTGAAACAGGAATACCTGGTCTCCGGTTGTGGGTATAGTCCAGAAATATATGAAGTGCCTATATTAAAAGACATATTTTATCAATGATATTTCTTTTTGATTACTGATAATGACATTTATATTCTTACAAGCACTTAGATGCAGATGCATTTCTGTAGGAGAAAATAAAAACTTAAAAACAAGTGGGGGACAATTTTTATTTATGATATTAGTTTTTAGCAAGTACTTTAGAGGTTGGAGCTGTACTTTTAAACAATGTAATATTGTACAGAACTGTCAGAATATTTTGGGAGGTTTACAAATATACAAAATATCAAAAGGAAATTGTGTTCTTGTAAAATACAATCTGTGGATTTTTCTTCTTCTTTAGGTAGATGGGCATTAAATTCATATTTGATATTTTGCAGCATTTGTAGCATTCTTTTTTATTTGATATCTAAAATGAGACTTCAAAATATGCTCCTTCTCATACTTTGTAATAAGTATTCAATAATGTATTCGCTTTTAAGGTATTAGAAAGAAAGAAGATGAAATATTAGTGTAGGAGCATAAGGAAACAATATTTGAATAGAAGTGGGTTATTTAACTGCAATCAGATCAGTCTAAGGAAGTAGTTACCTAAATGCCAACATCGAAGAAGTGTTTAAGAATATTTTTTGATATAGTTACTAGTTCATTAAGCCCCCTTATCCAAAATAATTGTCTTCATATAATGTTAGAGTGAAGAGCGGCAGATGATATGTACAAAGTGGATCCTGGAGATAATTAAGATGCCAATTTTTTTTTTTTTTGTAACAACTTCAGATGTTGGTTGTAGATATTCCTTTAAGTTTCTTAAAAAGATAAAAAGTTCTTGTAAGGGCTTTAAAAGGCAGATAGTCTTTCTATTTTCTATTATTTTTATGACATAAATGTCATTCAAAAGAATTGATGTCATTCTGCAAGAGAATTAAGCATTTATTGAAAGTTATGACTGTAATTTTCAATAAATACCATTTTGTTTTTTAATTGTTTAGCACATCAACTTCAAGTGATACCCTCATGGAATAAATTATTAAAGCAAATTTAGTATGTATGAAATACTGGTTTAACATATGTAATACATAACTGTTTATAAAGTATTTTAATTTTGTTTTTATTATTTACTTTTTTATAGGTATTTTCACTACTATCATCATTTACATCACTGATATTAACTGTCATGTTTTGCTTTATCTAAAGAAAGTGAAATTTAATTCTAGAAACAACTTATATATAATTACATTTTTTTTTTTTTTCTTTTTTTTTCTTCTCTTTTTTTTTTCTTGACCTGCCTTTTCTTTTGCTTTGATCTTCTTCCTAGTACACTTTTTATGCAGCTGCATAGACACCAAGTTCTCAGAGTATTTTGTGCATGAAGCTATTCAGTAAAATCCAGTACAAGAAATGTATGTTTCCTAGGTCACCATGGAGCAATACCTACGACCCACCCCTAGAAGATGGAGCCATGCCCAGCGACCGTTTACGCAAGTTAGAGCTAGATGCCAACCAGGCCTTTGACCAGTACCGAGACATGTACTTTGAGGGAGGAGTATCATCAGTATATCTCTGGGATCTAGACCATGGCTTTGCAGGTAAAGTTGCGCTGTTATGGCTTGAGAACATTGTTAGGCTAAAATCCCCTTTGGTGTATGTGTTGTATATGGTACGGTACAAGCATATATAATGTAATTTGTGAGAGTAGATAGCTTTGCAAAAGTATGTGATACATGAAAAGTTGAACCTTTAATGAAATTTGACCTCAGCAGTTCAGATGAAAGTAAGTTTTGATTTTGATGTTCAGTATAACTTTTGTAATCTTGTCATTGATTTCCTTTACAAATAAACTACAGAACAGCTCATTGTTTGTCATTGTTCTGGTTATTTGATATAAGAGGAGGGGGGGGGGACCTTCAATTATATAATTGACTTTTATGGTTAAGATTTTGGATATAGATTTGCACAACAAATTATACATATGACTATAGTGTTTGTTAGAATAATGGTAATGTGGATAAGTAAGGACTAGATATAATGCACAAGAAGTTTTATTTTATACCTTGAATTGAAATTATAAATGTTCATAAATTAGGTTAGAGATGATGAACTTAGAACCTTTTTTATTTCTAGATTTGATTTTATATATGTACATAAAAGAAATAAACACCTTTGTAAAACAGTTGAAAGAAGAAATATCAGTAAAGTTGAACTTTGCAGGAGTAATCCTTATTAAGAAAGCTGGTGATGGTAGCAAGAAAATAAAAGGCTGTTGGGATAGCATCCATGTAGTGGAGGTTGTAGAGAAGTCAAGCGGTCGCTCGGCACACTACAAGCTCACGTCAACAGCAATGCTTTGGCTGCAAACCAACAAACAAGGATCAGGAACCATGAACCTTGGAGGGTCTCTCACTAGACAGGTGAGAGATGTCCACACTTTTTATTTTTAATTGATATAACAAGTGTTTAGATTAGGAGTTGAAGAAATGTGGAAAATTAGATGAATGTGCTGAATTTTGTTATGCAAGCAAAATGATCATTCAGAGTAAATGGAAGCATGGCTGGATGTGTTTATAGATGAAGGGGATAGGGACATGAGTGTTATTTTTGGAGATGGAGTAGAAGTATTGGAGAGACAACTCAGGAGGTTGGTATTATGCAGATGTGTTTGAAGTATGTTAATTTTTAGAAGCTTGAATTGGTTTGGATGAAAAGCTGAGCTCTGGTGAAAGTAAAAAATGGATTTTAGTGTCAAAATACTTCAATATTATGATGCAAAATGAAAATACCTGTAAGAGAAGCTGTTGCCAGAACTATATTTAGAATATATTTAGTTTCCAGTTTCAAATGAAAATCATTACAGAAGTTGGTTTTACTTATTATAGTCCATTTATAGTGTGTAATGTTGAGCATATGTGGTTCATATTGTTCTGTAGTAGGTGTGAAGATTAATTTTATGCCTGTGCATTTTCTTTATAGATGGAACAAGATTGCCCAGTGTCAGAATCATCTCCACACATTGCTAACATTGGTCGTATGGTAGAAGACATGGAAAATAAGATCCGGAATACCCTCAATGAAATCTACTTTGGCAAAACCAAGGACATCGTAAATGGCCTCCGCTCAGTCCAACCCCTCCCTGACCAGAAGCAACAGGCTGCTCTCAGGAGTGAGATTGCAGCGGCACTCTTAAGGAGACAAGCGAAAGGGTCCAATAGCGAGAGTAACTAGGACCTCTCCTTCCCCCCTCTAGTTCATGGATCCCTCCCAGGTGAGGGCTCAAATACTGTGAGAATCGGGTTCTGCTACGTGTTAACGGCCTAGTCCTGTCTCCTCGGGCACGAAACACACGCTTTCAGGCCGCATGCGACGGAACCTCTGCTGGGACTGACCTCAGTCAGGCGTTCTCGGTGATATGTTGAATGAAACATCCCAACATAGAACACACTCCCCCAATGATAGAGGACTAGAGTGCCGACAGCTTCCTGAGTCACAGTGCAGGTGATGAACAGACACATGAAACCATATAAAAGTGATTGAAAAGACACTTCACATGTTAAATAAGTGGCCAATGAATATCTGTATGTGACAAGGAAGAGTATTTTCTCTGAAAGTATCATTCCACTGGGTAGGAATGTATATTTCTGGAAGGGAAGGAGCAAGATTAGAAAAAAAATGCTTAAGATGCTTGCGATCAGTCTTAGTTTATTTCCAAGAAGAGCATGAAGGTTATGGCTGTATGAAATGCTTAAAATCAATAATATATATCCAGTTCCTGCTTAAAAAGTAGCTCTACGGATAACCTGGCTACTTCCCAGGTGATTTTTTTCCTATTTGTTTAAGTTATAAGGCCAAAGAATAATTTTAACCAAAAAATGGTGACCACACATTTTAGTTCCAGGTTATAAAAGTGTCTAATATTCTTATTCCTTTGTTACTAGAAAAAGCATGTTATACATCAATAAAATGAAGGGAAAAAGCAAGCTTGGGTGGTAAAACTGTAGGTGCTTTCTAACAATTCGTAATCCCAGTGCGTACACCTGTCATGATGACGATGGGATCGTCAATAATAAATGGTCCATGTACTGGCTATTTACATACTTGTGAAAAAATAAGGCTCCATTTCTGAAGGCCCATAAACACTTAGGGTATGTTTGTTTGAGGGCATGTGTGGTTAAGTGTCTTTTTTTTTCACAATTGGTGGTTTTCCTATCTTTCGTTTTTCTTTTTTCTAGGTAGTTTAATTTTCTGCCTCACTTTCTTCATTTTTTTTCTCTTTCTCACTTTTTGTTCCCTTTTATTTTTATCTCTCTCTCCCTCTCCAAGGCTCTTCTAAAAGAAACGGTTAACTTGGTCTTTGTTTTCAAAAAAAGAAAAGAAAAAAAAAGTAGAAATACATAAAAAAGAAAAATAAATTATTTAGATTTAAAACGAGTGGATTGAGAAGTATCTAAAGTTGCCGTTGATTTTGGCTGATCCACGTACTTTTCCCTCAGAGGTGATTTTTTATGTGTGATCTACTGTTTCTACTTTTGTAAGCCTAGTCCTCTTCTGCGGCTGTTAACACCGTGGCCACATCAGTGAATGGTAGAGGGACAAGCTTCTCACAATCACATATTTGTAGAGTGTTTTATTTGTTCAACATATTATTTATTCTAATACCAAATGCTTTATAATGACAAACCATCTCTACCCTAGAAAGAAAAAATTATATATATATGCCCAGATGATTTGTACTTTGTTGATTTGTCAAGCATAGAATGATTTCAATGGTTTCATACACGGGTTCCCAGACTATCCTTGGGAACACAGGTAATGAGGCACAATAGGAGGATCACATTATCCGCCAGCGGTTATTGCCGGACCAAGTATGATATGTAATTGTTGAGTCTACAGTACGTGGTTGTGTTGTCATTCACTGATGCTGCCACCTACCTAGGGATTGTTAGGTGAGCCCTTGCTTCACGTTTGGGGCAATAAGGATCTAGGCAACAAGTGTGTTATGATTTTTTGGCTGGTCAGATTCACCTGCTTTGTTGTAATAATTTTAATCCATATGTGTATCGATTTGGGAGTAAACATTGTTTGATTTGACTTAGATTTACACTTATATTATTCTGAGTGAGCCAGACAAGGATGTTTGTAATTATCACCAAGTGGTGTCTGGTTGCTAGTTAATGCAACTCGAAGTTACCAGACTTATCTAGCAGCTGTGGATCTCTTTTATAAATATTCATTAAATGGAAATCAACTCCAAACAAATATTTAGGTACTCACTCTTGCCTAGACCCTGGCTAAATGATACTGTATTTATTATTACCAGAAGTTCTGTTTAAAGTATATAATATGGAGAACTATTGATCATATCCCCCGTTGTATTTCCTTTAAGGCAATGTGATCGTCTCATTGTTATGCATTTGCCCTGCGTGGCAGACACTATTTTTGATCAAAGAATTGATTATACAAGTATTTGGTAATCTGCTTGTTTTATTGAGTTTACATCCTCCAAACTTAAATCTCTTATCCACACTTTGAAAAATACTATACTTATATTTTAGGTTCTTGTGTACTGTATTTGAAAATGTGTAAAATGTGATGTTTTCATGAGAAATATTTGTACATTTATATAGAACACTTTTGATGCCAGCCGAAGAGGTACCATTCCATTTCTAATTCCCAAACACCCGTGACTTATCCCATCCTTATCTGATGAATTTATGAAAATGCTGGACTGTAATTACTGGCTATTTTCTGTTAACTATTTGAAAAAATTATCATTGTTTATATGGAAGTATAATTTGCCAGCAGTGCCTGTAAATTATGCCTGATAAAGTATGCAGTTGGTTAACAAGGTGTAGAAAATCAATTAATTTTTATTAATGTTGCTGGAAGATATATTGTAAATCACTGTGGCCAGATGAGCAACACATCACTGATACTTAAAGTACATAGGAATAATACTTAATCTTTAATGTTCATATTTCTGCTTTTCATCATGCAGGGTTACACACAGCATTGCTTTTAGAGAAAATAGGAATACTAATCAAAGACAATCAGATGATAGCCACACACTATAGTTTGGGATAACTACTTGCGATGTCATGATGATTTTAATCTTGATTTCATGTTGCTGTGTTCATACCCATTACAAAATTACATTTCTTTTTATTGGATATGGTACATGTACTAACATATTTTTGAGTATGCAGACACAGAGCTAGCAAGGTATTTGGTATAACTACTTTTCAAACACTTGCTATTGGATTTTTTTTTATACATGTGCAATGGTTAGATTTGGGTCTTCATTAATAACAAAGTAAAGTATAAATTCTCTTGTAGTACAATAACCAGAAACTTCACTTTGAAAACATAATACACTTCCAGCTACCATGTTCAAAGAGAATAATATTTTAGATGACTATAGATTTGAACTTGATTCAGTCTCATGCTTTTATTTTTCTGTTTCTGTTATCTGTTTCTTGTGCTGTGTCACATCAATCACTTCCACTGAGCTTTTGGTAATGCACCATGTATGTATAGGAAATTTGTTATAAAAGTACAGGAATAAAAAGTGCTGTGGTGCTATGGCATATAGCCAAGTATCAGGCCTAAAAGTATCAGTATAATTAAGGCCATAGTGACCTATAATGCTGGGGCCTTACATCTTGTTAATGCTTTTTGACCCAACATAAATGAGATGCTTTAATCTTGGTTTCCATTGTTTCTAATGTATCACCTGACCTTATTTGTTTTGGTTGCCATGTGATGACCTTGCTCTTCTTTGATGTTCTCGATGTGCCTCCTATATTGTACGGTACAGTGGCTCTTCAATTTCTTGGACTGATTCTGCACAAACCGTGTCTGAGGTATATAGTTTTCCGAGAAATCACAATTGCAATAAAAGATATCATAGTTACTGCTGTCATTGACCCATTTTCTTAGAAATATGGTAAGGAAAAGCCAATAATGTCTATAGTCATACTTGACTGAAATGAAACACCTTTGCTATTTAAGATAAGAAAATATGGAAACAGCAAACTTTATGTTAAAATGATGAAGGGAAGTATTGTACCAATACTTCACACTACCCATCTATTATTCATTCATTGTTCTAAATAATGTTTTTTTCATTTATTCTGTAGCTCTAAGATAATATTTGTCTTTAGAGTAATTCAGTGTTTATACTACTTTTATACAATACAACCATAAAAACTACCAAGGGAAGGTATGAATATGTCAAAGCTCACATATTTGACACCAGCTTTAAAAGAGACATTTCTTTCTGAGTTAAATACATGGTCTAAAGATAATCTGAGAAAATAAAGTGCCACTGTATTTCTCCTTCTGTATGTGTTAGGAGCTTCCGAGGGTCCTAAAATAATGTTTGTGAAAATGATCTAGGAGAAAAGAGAAATTACACTGTCTCCATATATTTTTACATTGAGATGATGTGGACCTAAGTGAAAAGCTTCAAAAAAGTTGTTAATCTGAAAAAAGTGAATCCTTTAAGACCAAGAAGAGGAAGTCGAGGACAGAGAAAATGACTCCACTGCCAAACTACGAGAAGGATTCCTTCAAAAAATGTAATTGGTGAATGGCAATAATTGTATATGCAAAACAACATAATGCCCTTAAAAAGTTAAGGATACGTGTGAAGGATAAATAATTAGTCCGCAAAAGATCAGAACAGTGCTGAAACAGGCAGAGTCTGCTTGTATGTGGTTCAGTAAATAAAATGAGTTTTTAGATTTGTACAAACAATAACCATTGCCTAAACTCACTCAATTTCTCTCTCTCTCTCTCTCTCTCTCTCTCTCTCTCTCTCTTCTTTCTCTCTCTCTCTCTTTCCCCTCTCTCTCTCTCTCTTTCTCTCTCTCTCTCTTTCCCCCTCTCTCTCTCTCTTTCCATCTCTCTCTCTCTTTCCCCTCTCTCTCTCTCTTTCCCCCATCTCTCTTCTTTCTCCCCTCTCTCTCTCTTCCCCCTCTCTCTCTCTTTCACCCCTCTCTCTCTCTCTTTCCCCTCTCTCTCTCTCTCTCTCTTTCTCCTTTCTCTTCTCTCTCTTTCCACCTCTCTCTCTCTTCTTTCTCCTCTCTCTCTTTCCCACCTCACCTCTCTCTCTTTCCCACCTCTCCTCTCTCTCTTTCCCACCTCTCCTCTCTCTCTTTCCCCTCTCACTCTCTCTCTTTCCACCTCTCCTCTCTCTCTTTCCCACCTCTCCTCTCTCTCTTTCCACCTCTCCTTCTCTCTTTCTCTCTCTCTCTCTTTCCCACCTCTCCTCTCTCTCTTTCTCTCTCTCTCTCTTTCCCCTCTCCTCTCTCTCTCTTTCTCTCCTCTCTCTCTCTCTCTCTTTCCCACCTCTCCTCTCTCTCTCACTCTCTCCTCTCTCTCTTTCCACCTCTCCTCTCTCTCTTTTCCTCTCCTCTCTCTCTTTGCACCTCTCCTCTCTCTCTTTGGCCACACCTCTCTCTCTCTCTCTTTCCCACCTCTCCTCTCTCTCTCTTTCCCACCTCTCTCTCTCTCTTTCCCACTCTCCTCTCTCTCTTTCCACCTCTCCTCTCTCTCTTTCCCCCTCTCTTCTCTCTCTTTGCCACCTCTCTCCTCTCTCTCTTTGCCACCTTCCTCTCTCTCTTTCCACCTCCCTCTCTCTCTTTCCCACCTCTCCTCTTCTTCTTTCCCACTCTTTCCACCTCTCTCTCTCTCTTTCTTCTCCTCTCTCTCCTTTCCCACTCTCCTCTCTCTCTTTGCCACCTCTCCTCTCTCTCTTCCACCTCTTCTCTCTCTCTTTGCACCTCTCCTCTCTCTCTCTTTCCCACTCTCCTCTCTCTCTTTCCCCTCTCTCCTCTCCTCTTTCCCACTCTCTCTTTCTCTCTCCTCTCTCTTTCCCACCTCTCCTCTCTCTCTTTTGCCACCTCTCCTCTCTCTCTTTGGTCTCCTCTCTCTCTCTTTTGCCACCTCTCCTCTCTCTCTTTCTCTCTCTCTCTCTCTTTCCCACCTCTCCTCTCTTCTCTCTTTCCCACCTCTCTCTCTCTCTTTGCCACTTCTCTCTCTCTCTCCTCTCCTCTCTCTCTTCCCCACCTCTCCTCTCTCTCTCTTTCCCACCTCTCCTCTCTCTCTTTCCCACCTCTCCTCTCTCTCTTTCCCACATCTCCTCTCTCTTTTTCCCACTTCTCCTCTCTCTCTTTCCCACCTCTCCTCTCTCTCTCTTTGCCACCTCTCCTCTCTCTCTTTGCTCTCCTCTCTCTCTTTTGCCACCTCTCCTCTCTCTCTTTGCCATCTCTCTCTTTTCTCTCTTCTCTCTCTCTCTTTCCACCCTCTCCTCTCTCTCTTTGCCACCTCTCCTCTCTCTCTTTCCCACCTCTCCTCTCTCTCTTTCCCACCTCTCCTCTCTCTCTTTGCCACCTCTCCTCTCTCTCTTTCCCACCTCTCCTCTCTCTCTTTTCCCAACCTCTCTCTCTCTCTCTCTTCTCCCACCTCTCCTCTCTCTCTTTCTTCTTCTTTGCCACCTCTCCTCTCTCTCTTTGCCACCTCTCCTCTCTCTCTTTGCCACCTCTCCTCTCTCTCTTTCCCACCTCTCCTCTCTCTCTTTCCCACCTCTCCTCTCTCTCTTTCCCACCTCCCTCTCTTTTCTCCTCTCTCTCTTTCCCACCTCTCCTCTCTCTCTTCTTTGCCACCTCTCTCTCTCTTTTCCCACCTCTCCCTCTCCTCTTTCCACCTCTCCTCTCCTCCCACCTATCCTCTCTCTCTTTCCCACCTCTCCTCTCTCTTTCCCACCTCTCCTCTCTCCTCTTTCCACCTCTCCTCTATCTCTTTCCCACCTCTCCTCTACTCTTTCCCACCTCTCCTCTCTCTCTTTCCCACCTCTCTCTCTCTCTTTCCCACCCCTCTCTCTCTCCCCCTCTCTCTTTCTTTCCCCATCTCTCTCTCTCTTTCCCACTCTCTCTCTCTTTTCCCCATCTCTCTCTCTTCCCCCCCCTCTCTTTCTTCCCCTCTCTCTCTCTTTCACCCCCTCTCTCTCTCTTTCCCCCTTCTCTCTCTCTCTTCCCCCCTCTCTCTCTTTCCCACTTCTCTCTCTCTCTTTCCCACCTCTCCTCTCTCTTTTTCCCACCTCACCTCTCTCTCTTTCCCACCTCACTTCTCTCTCTTTCCCACCTCTCCTCTCTCTCTTTCCCACTCTCCTTCTCTCTTTCCCCTCTCCCTCTCTCTCTTTCCCACCTCTCCTCTCTCTCTTTCCCACCTCTCCTCTCTCTCTTTCCCACCTCTCCTCTCTCTCTTCCCTCCTCTCTCTCTCTCTTTCCCATTTCTCTGCTCTCTCTCTCTCTCTTTGCCACCTCTCCTCTCTCTCTTTGCCACCCTCTCCTCCTCTCTCACTCTCCCTCTCTCTCTTTGGCCACCTCTCCTCTCTCTTTTGCCACCTCTCCTCTCTCTCTTTGCCACCTCTCCTCTCTCTCTTTGCCACCTCTCTCTCTCCTCTCTCTCCTCTCTCTCCCACCTCTCTCTCCTCTCTCTCTTTGCCACCTCTCCTCTCTCTCTTCCCACCTCTCCTCTCTCTCTTTCCACCTCTCCTCTTCCTCTTTCCACCTCTCCTCTCTCTCTTTGCCACCTCTCTCTCTCTCTCTTTGCCACCTCTCCTCTCTCTCTTTGCCACCTCCCTCTCTCTCTTTCTCTCTCTCTCTCTTTGCCACCCTCCTCTCTCTCTCTCTCTCTCTCTTTCCCACCTCTCCTCTCTCTCTTTCCCACCTTCCTCTCTCTTCTTCCCACCTCTCCTCTTCTCTCTTTCTCCCTTTTCCCTCTCTCTTTCCCACCTCTCCTCTCTCTTTCCCACCTCTCCCCTCTTTCCCACCTCTCCTCTCTCTCTTTCCCACCTCTCCTCTCCCTCTTTCCCACCTCTCCTCTCTCTTTCCCACCTCTCCTCTCTCTTTCCCACCTCTCTCCTCTCTTCCCACCTCTCTCTTCCCTCTTTCCCCACCTCTCCTCTCTCTTACCCACTCTTTCCCACCTCTCCTCTCTCTCTTTCCCACCTCTCCTCTCTCTCTTCCCCCCCTCTCTCTCTCTCTTCCCCCCGAGTTTTTAAATTTTTACAAACAATAACCATTGCCTAAACTCACTCACTCTCTCTCTCTCTCTCTCTCTCTCTCTCTCTCTCTCTCTTCTCTCTCTCTCTCCTCTCTCTCTCTCTCTCTCTCTCTCTCTCTCTCTCCCTCTTTCCTCTCTCTCTCTCTCTCTCTCTCTCTCTCTCTCTCTTCTCTCTCCTCTCTCTCTCTTCCTCTCTTCTCTCTCTCTCTCTTCTCTCTCTCTCTCCTCTCTCTCTTCTCTCTCTCTCTCTCTCCTCTCTCTCTCTCTCTCGTCTCTTCCCCCCCCTCTCTCTCTCTCTTCCTCTCTGCTCTCTCTTCCCCCCCTCTCTCTCTCTCTCTTCCCCCTTCTCTCTCTTCCCCCCCTCTCTCTCTCTCTTCTCCTCTCGCCTCTCTCTTCTCTTCTTCACCCCCCCTCTCTCTCTTTCTCTCTTCTCTTCCCCCTTCTCTTCTCTCTCTCTCTCTCTCTTCTCCCCTCCTCTCTCTTCTCTCCCCCTCTCTCTCTCTCTCCTCCGCCTCTCCCTCTCTTTCTTCCCCCTCCTCTCTCTCCCTCCTCCCTCCCTTCTCTCTCTTCTCTCTCTCTCTCTCCGTCTCTCTCTCTCTCTCTCTCTCTCTCTCCTCTCTCTCTTCTCTCTCTCGTCTCTCTCCTCTTCCCCCCTCTCTCCCCCCCTCTCCTCTTCCCCCTCTCTCCTCTCCCTCCCCTCTCTCTTCCCTCCTCCCCCTCTCTCTTCTCTCTCTTCCCCTCTCTCTCTCTCCTCTCTTCTCTTCCTCCCTCTCTCTCTCTCCTCTCTCTCCTCTCCTCTCTCTCTCTCTTCTCTTCTCTCTCTTTCTCTCTCTCTCTCTCTCTCTCTCTCTCTCTCTCTCTCTCTCTCTCCTCTCTCCTCTCTCTCTCTCTCTCTCTTTCCCCCCTCTCCTCTTTCCCCTCCCTCCCTCTTCTCTCTCTCTCTCTCTCTCTCTTCTATCTCCCCCCTCTCTCTCTCTCCTCTCTCCCCCCCTCTCTCTCTCTCTTCTCTCTCCCCCCCCCCTCTCTCTCTCCAGACAGCTTAGTATATGAAGGGAAATTAGTGCCAATGCTAAAGGTCTGTA